CCAAACAGTCGAATCTCATTAATCTCCGGCTCTGAGCGCGTGCGTTCCTCTCTAGTCTATACGCGTGGAAACGGGTCGGTGCGGGTTCTGGCTGTCGTCGTCAGCTGTTGATAGCTTTTGAGCCACGGAGAAAGTTCAAATCTGACCACAAGAAATCGATTTCTGAGACACTTCTGCTCTAATCTGATATGCGTCATGACCAGTTTCGCCATCGCCCTTCAGCCAGTATGGCGGCTTTCAAGATGGCCGCCGTGTCATTTTTCTCAAATAAAACAGCGTCCGCTGACCTTTGACCCTGTAGAACCAGAGTACAGGAAACAAACTCGGAATGTGGAAACTTGTCAGGAATGGGAACTCGAAGCAGGAGGTGGTACCAAAAAGGTTTATTGAACCAAAAGCGCACTCTCAGAGTGGAAACTAAAGTACCAAAACAAGATTAACAAGACTATGAACAAAATATAATCGCTCTAACGAGGCAGACAAAGCTGTGAACAAAGTATCAAATAAGTAAACAAGACTATGAACAAAGTATTAAATCAAAATCACTCGCGAACGAGGACAAAAAGACGAGGTACAAAGTAACAAAATAATACTCACAAGGATGCACAATCGCTAGGAGACAAAAAACTCAGAAAGGCACTAGGGATCAAAGGCAAGGAATATGGGTCAAGACAAGAAGGCTGCACAGTTAGGTCGTAAACGGAAACACACTGGCACAAGATAAAGGGAAACAAGGACTATTTAAACACATGAGGGAAAGGGAACCCCAGGTGTGCAAGTGGCCTGAAACAAGGGGATTTACCTTTCAAAATAAAACAGGAAATGACAAGACAACGTCTAGACAAGACAAAAACACCAACATTTCCCCCAGACGTGACAAAACCGCGAAAAAAAAAATCCACAAAACGCAACTCAGAGGCCTCGGACGGGTGTTTCAGATCGAGGAGATCGAGCGGGAGATCATCAAGCAGGAGGAGAACGTGGACCCGGACTACTGGGAGAAGCTGCTGCGGCATCACTACGAGCAGCAGCAGGAGGACCTGGCCAGCAAGCTGGGCAAAGGAAAGAGGAACCGCAAGCCCGTCAATTACAACGACGCGGCCCAGGAGGACCAAGGTAGGCCCTGAGGGTTTTGTTTGAGGCTGGTGGAGGCCAGTGGGCCGGGCCTATTGACAGGGAACCCTGTGCTGTTTCAGAGTGGCATGCTGACATTTCAGATAACCAGTCCGAGTACTCCGTGGGCTCCGAGGAGGAGGACGAAGACTTTGACGATCGGCCAGAAGGTAAGAGGCGAGATAATGTATAGATAGATGGGATTGACCCTTCATGTCATGTGACTTAAATTTACAGAATAACTGAGTGAAGAGTTGTTGCCTTTTAGCTTCTCAATGCCGTCCAACCCCCCCTACCAACCCACCCCTATTTTTATTTGTTTTATTTATTTATTTATTTATTTATTTATTTATTTATTTATTTATTTATTTATTTATTTTTATTATTTTTTTATTTATTCATTTTTTATTTTAGTTTTTTTAATTAATTTATTTATTTTTTTGTTGTTAATGTAGTTGTTAATGTAGTTTTTTTTTTAATGTAATTATACTTATTTGGTCCTGTTTTTGTTA